GCCTATAAAATCAATGCCCCATACATCAAAAATATCAACTTCAAGGATGGTATTGAGAGGCATCTCATCTTTCTTCGAAATTCCACCCGCTCTTTGACATTTGTCACACCTCTTCACAAGTTCACTTGTATCTTTGTACAAAGTTGGCCAATAAAACCCATAACTAAGAATTTTGGAAGTCGTCCTCGCCCCACCATGATGGCCACCATAGGGAGAGAATGACAAGCCTCTAAGATATTCAATTGATCTTCCTCCGGGACACACCTTCGGATCACACCATCTGTGTAAATCTTGAACAAGTACGACTCATCCCAATAGAAATCCAAACTATCCCGTTTGAGCTTCTTCTTTTGGTTAGAAGAGAGCTCACACGAGATTATACCAGGCCCAAGGAAATTAGCAATGTCCGCAAACCATGGCATACCATTCACAAACATCGAAAGGAGTTGTTCGTCAGGAAATGAATCATTGATCTCTAGGCCATCACGAGGCCTCCCCTCCTCCTCCAAGCGGGACAAGTGGTCCACCACTTGGTTTTCACTACCCTTCTGGTCCACAATCTCCAAATCAAACTCTTGAAGTAACAAGACCCATCACATTAGTCTAGCTTTGGAATCCTTCTTCGTCATCAAGTACCAGAGTTCGACATGATCGGTATAGACTATGACTTTGGCACCCATAAGATATGGCCGAAATTTCTCCATCGTGAATACAATAGCCAAAAGCTCTTTCTTAGTCATTGTGTAGTTCACTTGCGCATCATTCATTGTCTTGCTCGTATAGTACACTAGATGAAATATTTTGTTCACTCTTTGACCCAAAACCGCCCCAACCGCAACATCGCTTGCATTACACATGCACTCAAAAGGCAAGATCCAATTAGGTGTGGTAATAATAGGAGTGGTGGTCAACTTGTGCTTGAGAAGTTCAAAAGCTTGCATAAATCTCTCATCGTACATGAACTTGGCATCTTTTTCCAATAACTTGCATAAGGGATTCACTACCTTCGAAAAGTCTTTGATAAATCTCCAATAGAACCCCGCATGCCCAAGAAAACATCGAACTCCCTTGACAAAGGTAGGGGAGGGAGCCTTGAAATCACATCAATTTTTGCTTTGTCCACCTCTATACCATGTTTTGAAATTTTATGCCAAAGAATATGCCCTCTTCCACCATGAAGTGTCATTTCTCCCAATTAAGAACCAGATTGGTTTCTTCACAATGGGCCAACACTCTATCAAGATTTTTCAAACATTCCTCAAACGAATCACCCACAACACTAAAGTCGTCCATGAACACCTCCAAGATATCTTCCACCATATCGGTAAAAATGGCCATCATACACCGCTGAAGTGTAGCTGGTGCATTACACAACCCAAAAGGCATCCGAGAAAAGGCAAAGGTGCCATATGGACAAATGAATGTGGTCTTCTCCTGATCTTCCGAAGCAATCAAGATTTGGTTGTATCCAGAATACCCATCCAAGAAACAGTATAAGGCACGCCCAGCAAGTCAATCTAACATTTGATCAAGAAAAGGCAATGGAAAGTGATCCTTGCGGGTCACTTTATTCAACTTGCGGTAGTCCATGCATACCCTCCAACCGGTGACAGTTCTGGTAGGAATCAACTCATTTTGTGAATTTGCAACCACGGTCATGCCACCCTTCTTCGGTACACATTGCACCGATGAAGTCCAAGAGCTATCAGAGATGGGGTACACAACCCCGACATCCAACCACTTGATCACCTTCTTTTTCACAACTTCTTGCATTGCCTCGTTCAACCTCCTTTAATGTTCCAAGGAGGGTTTTGCATCATCTTCCAGAATAATCTTGATAGATCTTAAATGCTCTTGCCTGATGTTTTAATGATCTAACAAACTTATGGCTAAGAACCAGATAGGGAACCTGACCTACTTGGATCACTACAAGCGTTAACCGATTTCAAAGTGGCTTGTGGTGATAGCATCACAAGTTAGAAAAAGCCTTTGTAACTAGGATAGTCACAAAGTGGCTTGTGGTAAAGGTACCACAAGTTAGTTGAGTAAATTCTTTGCAATAGGAAGTATTGTAATGTGGCTTGTAATAGGCAAGATTACAAGTTAGTGAAGTTAAAAACCTACAAGGTAGGCCGTGGCTTTTTTGATCCCATTGTGTGGGATTTTTCCATGTAAAAAGTCCTTTGCCTCATTTACTTACTGCTTTACTAAGTGCTCTCAGCAGAATCTTGTAGCGGACCAGGTACTCTACGATTTGGTAGATCCATACAATCTAACAATTGGTATCAGAGCAGCTTCCTCCTATCAGGCTAACACCTAGGAAGGATCCTCATGGCGGTTCCACTAAATTTTGAAGAAGGTCAATCCATATACCACCCACCCAAGTTTGATGGAAAATGCTATTGGTAGTGGAAAGCTAGAATACATGATTTCATCATGGCTGAGGATTGTGAGCTTTGGGATGTCATCTGCGATGATCCGTTTGTTCCAATCAAGGTACTAAATGAATTTCTATTTTCAATAAAAAAACAGTAAAGAATACACTGAAGCAGATAAGAGAGCGGTGGAGAAGAACTTTCGTGCCAAGAAAATTCTGGTATATGTTTTGGGAGTTAAAGAGTACGATAGAATCTCTACATGCGACACTGCCAAGGAAATATGGGAGGCTTTGCAAATAACTTATGAGGGAACTACACAAGTAAAACAAGATAAATTTAATATTGATGATAGTTCCACGATGGTAGTTGAAGGCAAGGATATTGGATATGACTCGATGCTTTCTTTGATGGCTCAATCAGATAATGATGAAGACAATGGCAACGAAGAGGTAAACTTTAGGGATGTTCAGAAAAATCTGAAATCCTATTCTTCAAAAAAACTCATGTGTTTAGCTGATGTTTTAATTACTGCCTTTTCTAGTCTTGCGGAGGATAGGGATTCCTTGTTCTTAGAGCTAGAAGAATCTGAACGTACTAGAGAAGACTTAGTGGCTGCAATTACTAATCAAAAGAAAACCATTGAAATTCTTAGAAAAGAAAAGAGTGATCTCTTGGCAGAAACTGCAGACCAAAGGGAACTAATAGTAAAGCCTTTGACTAATTCAGAATCTGAAAGCTCTGAAAGAGGAAAGGGGATAGTTAGTGAGGAATATTTTAGGCTTGAAGATGAGGTGAAGGCCTTGAGATATAGGATGTGTGATGAAATTGAGAAAAACGAGCTCCTCCAAGCCAATCTAGAAAAAGTAATGAATGATCTTGAAAGGCCTCTAAAGTGGACTTGGTCCTTAGAAGCTACCACTGCCTCGCTCACTAATGACAGTGAAAAAGGGCGGGGAGCAGGGTTCCCAAGGGAGAAAACTCCTCACAATCCTCACAGTAAGAGCGCCACTGCATCTGATAACTGGCCTCGTACCCAATATGGGAACACCAGGCACTTTAAGGAAGGTGTCCAGGACAAGAATCAATCAGTACCAAAAGATAAAGTGGCTACTGAAACTATGACCACAAAAAAGGGACCAGGTTCCGCTCACAAGAAACACACATTACATGCATGGACTAAGAGAACTCTTATTCATCCTCTTGGTTACTAAAAGGGACCCAAACTTGTTTGGGTTCCTAAAACTAACTCCTAATCTTTTGTGCAGGGAATAGTGAAGGGAAGCGGTCAACAATGGTTCATGGATAGTGGGTGTTCGAAACACATGACTGGGAACACCACAGACTTTCTTTCACTAAAAGCCCTGCAATGAGGGAGTGTATCCTTTGGCAACGGCAAAAATGGGTACATTCTTGGAGTTGGAAAAGTTGGGAAGTCACTCACTCACTCTACTGAAAATGTGTACTATGTCAATAGACTTAAGTACAATCTCTTGAGTGTCTCTTAATTTGCGATAAAGGAAACAAGGTTGAATTCTTGTCCAAAATATGTACAGTCGCTGCCCTTGTGACCGGTGAAATAGTTCTGGTGGCCAAAAGATACAAGAACATCTATGTTGCTGATTTCGAATCCTTACAGTGTAGTGATCTGAGTTGTCTGAAGGGGTTGACGATGATGCTGAACTATGGCACAGAAGACTGGGCCATGCAAGCTTTTTCCTTCGGAACAAACTAATTTAGAAGGACCTGGTCCATGGTTTGCCAATGTCACAATTCAAAACTCAAAAAATCTGTGATGCCCATGCTAGAGGAAAACATGTAAAGTCCTCCTTTAAGTCAAAAAGAGATGTGAGCACCTCAAAGCCGCTTGAGCTCCTACATATGGATCTGTGTGGACCTATGAGGGTGCAAAGCAAAGGAAAAAAGAGATACATTTTCGTAATCGTGGATGACTATTCCAGATTCACATGGACTCTGTTTCTCAGAACAAAAGATAAAACTGTTGAAGTATTTGTGGCCTTTGTGAAGAAAATCCAGGTGAAGATGGAGTCTAGAGTTGTATGCATTAGATCAGATCATGGGACAGAATTTGACAATGTCAAATTTGATGAATTCTGCAATGAAAATGGCATCACTCACAACTTCTCAGCTCCTAGAACTCCACATCAAAATGGAGTAGTAGAAAGAAAGAACAGAACTCTGGAAGAAATGGCAAGAACAATGCTGATTGACAGTGGACTTGCAAAGAACTTTTGGGCTGAAGCTGTCAACACTGCATACCACTTAGTGAATAGGTGCATGATCAGATCAATTCTGAACAAGACCCCGTATGAATTGCTGAATGGAAGAAAACCCAGGCTGATTTACCTAAGAACATTTGGATGCAAATGTTATGTTCTCAACAATGGAAAGGATCGGCTTGGTAAGTTCGATGCCAAAAGTGACGAAGGGATATTTCTTGGCTACTCTTCTTAAAGCAAGGCTTACAAGATATATAACAAGCGGACTCAATGTGTTGAAGAAAGTGTCCATGTTATTTTTGATGAATCTCATCCATCATTTGAGAAGAGTGCTGAGGAAGATCAAGATGGAGAACCCTTACTTGTTCCTGGTGAAGTTATTAACATGACAAAAGGAAAGGTAGACATGATGAGTCAAGTGAAGGAGCCAAATGAAGATAACGCTGCCTCATCATCAACAGAACCAAGCATTTCAATTACAATCACTGAAGCCGAAGAAAGAGTGGTTGATGCAGTTCAGGGAACTCCACTGGCATCTGAGAGAAGGATAGAAGAAAATTAGCCAAACATACCTTCCTCCCCTCAGAATGAACCCCAGACATCTAACTAGAGACATCAAAGTTCTCACCCTATAGACAACATAATCACTCCTCTAGATTCCGAAGTTCAAACCAGGTCAAGAGCTAGAAATTCACTTGCCTTCTCAGCCTTTCTCTCCCAAATAGAACCCAAGAACATCAAGGAAGACTTAAAAGATGCAGATTAGATTACAACCATGCAAGACAAGATGTATCAGTTTGAGAGAAATAGTGTATGGCACTTGGTACCCAGACCCCCAGTTAGAACCATTATAGGAACCAGGTGGGTATTTAGAAACAAGCTCGATGAACATGGAATTACCACAAGGAACAAGGCTAGACTAGTGGTCCAAGGCTACAATCAGGAGGAAGAGATTGACTATGATGAAACATTTTCTCCAGTGGCTCGCATGGAAGCCATCAGAATTTTGGTCGCCTTTGCTTCTCATATGGAATTTACTTTGTTCCAAATGGATATCAAAAGTGCATTTTTGAATGGACTGCTTAAAGAAGAAGTCTATGTGAAGCAACCCCCTGGGTTTAAATGTCATGAGCACCCTGAATATGTGTTCAAATTGGATAAAGCTCTGTATGGGTTAAAGCATGCTCCTCGAGCGTGGTATGAAAGATTGTCAAAATTTCTCTTAGAAAATGGGTTTAAGAGAGGGAGGATTGACAACACTCTTTTCTTAAAGAAATAAGGAAGGAACCTGCTTATTGTTCAGGTTTATGTTGATGATATCATTTTTGGAGCAACAACTGACTCTCTGTGTGAAGAATTCGCAAAACTTATGGGAAGCAAATTTGAAATGAGCATGATGGGGGAATTAAACTTCTTCCTGGGCCTTCAAGTAAAACAGTCCCCAAAGGATACTTCCATTTGTCTACAAAAATACATCAAGAAACTCTTAAACAGGTTTGACATAGAAGTATCAAAAGTGATAGACACTCCCACTGCAACTGCCACTCGACTGGACATGGATGAAACTAGATCTCCTGTGAATCAAACAATGTATAGAGGCATCATTGGGTCTCTCCTCTATCTCACTGCCAGTCGACCTGATATTGTCTTTAGCGTAGGGCTATGTGTGAGGTTTCAATCAAATCCCAAGGAATATCACTTGAAGGCTGCCAAAAGAATACTGAGATATCTCAAAGGCACGCAGGACCTGGTGCTATATTATCCATCAGGTGACAGTTTTAATCTGATTGGGTATGCTGATGCAGACTATGCAGGCTATTTTGTGGACAGAAAAAGCACTTCTGGGATGGCTCACTTCTTAAGATCATGTCTTATCTCTTGGGGGACAAGGAAACAAAATTCAGTGGCTCTTTCAACAGCTGAAGCTGAATATGTAGCTGCAGCATCCTACTGTGCTTAGCTTCTGTGGATCAAGCAGCAGTTGGAAGATTAAGGAGTTCTCACTGAGAGTGTGCCTCTCCTATGTGACAACACCAGTGCACTCAATATGGCAAAGAATCTAGTTCAACATAAAAGGACCAAACATATTGATGCGGGGCATCATTTTCTGAGAGATAATGTGGAGAAAGGGTTGATATGCATGAAGTTTTGCAGCACAGAAGATCAAATTGCAGACATTTTCACCAAGCCATTGAGTAGGGAACAGTTTGAAAGAAACAGAGTAAAGCTGGGACTGTTGAAGCCAAATTAAGAACCTAATTCCTCTTTAGCTGGCTCGTATTCTTAAGAAATAATTAGTTCAAAGTTTTTTTTGGCCCTGTCTAACTCACTTCAATACTGTTGCAGGTAGACATGCATGATAAGCATAGAAGCAGTAGATGCAGTACATGACTAATAAAAGAGTATTAATTCTTTTCAAAAAAGGCTTGAAGAAAATGTTTTTTCAAGAACCAGGTTCTTGTACTAAAGGTTAGTAGTTCTATGCATCCTTTAATACACATCTTAAAAGGTACAAAATGCAACTGCCATGTCATCAAATTTTCAGATTCGGCTGTCATGTCCCTTCAATTCAAAATGTTCCACCTCTGAAACATCACAATTCTCCACGCCCAACTGTCGTTTTAGAACCGATGCCTATTCTTCTCCCTTCATAATTATCCTCTCCGTTTAAAAACCCCTCTCTTTTGTCCTTCTTAACCATAGGCCCTTATTCTAGACTCATCCAAAAGGAAAGGATCATCACACCACTTCTTCCAATGGCTGAGAAAACTTCCGATCTATCTGCCTCAACTGTAACCACCTCTGACCCATTTTCTCCGATCTATCTAGCTGAGAAACTACTGTTCCATTTTCTCCGTCGTCTGTTGCCCACACCAGTCAAACCTTAAGTGGAGAACAAGGTCAAAATACTGAGTTCACAAAAGGCTCCACCATCATTGCCGTTGACTCCATGGTTGTGGAAGAACCAGTTGAAGAAGAAAAGGTTGTGTTTGTGGTATCCGCTGATGGGGTATTGCATAAAGTTATTTCCTAGAAACATGAGTCACAAAGCATGTGGGTAGAAGGGCCATTATGGCTGTTGAAGGGGATGCAGTAGTATACACTACTAAGGCATCATATGAGGAACCTGATCCCTCTCCGGAGGACCCAGGTTAGGACTCTCATCCCCGGGAAAGTGCTGTTCCTGCCTTCGATGCTGTGCCTATGGAAATTCAAGCACCAGAAATGTGATCTAGTGATGAAGACGACCTAGACAACATGGCTCTTGATGCATTCATAAGTAAGCGAAGGGTTGTCTCCACCCCTGAGTTTGAAATTAAGCGGCCTACTACCAGGCTTCAAGTCAAAGTGGCCTACGACTCTGCACTCCAAAAGAGCAAGAAAAGTAGTAAGAAGAAAAGAAGAAAGCTGGTGAAGGATGATGTACCTATAAGTGATGAAGCTATTCCTGTAGTGGAGGTGGAAGAAGGAACTCCTGAGGAACCAGGTTCCCTTGTAAGGCGGTCCTCAAAAAAGGCTGACTTTGTTTCTATGGAGAAAGGGTCTACTTCTAAGTCCGAGTTGATGGAGGTAGTGAGTGAAGAGGATATTCTTGTCAAGTCCAAGGGGAAAGGCAAAGTCAGTGGAGAAAAGCATAGGAAACGCAAGTCTGAAACAGTTGAAGAACCTAGTTCTGGAAAGAAAGCAAGAAGTGAGGTCTGCCTTAGCTCTGAGCGCCTAAGGCATCAAAAAGTTCTGCTAGGTCATACGTTTGACCCAACAATCTCGTAGATGGCCGAAATGCGCTAAATTCTGGAAATGGTGGAGTTTCAACAATGGATGCATCTATTCTACATTGATGCCCCTAAAGTGAATGAGGAGGAGGTACAGAGTTTCTTCGCCAGTCTTTTTCCAGTCGATACTGACCATGTTTGTGCGTTGGTCAATGGGGTGGACATTGTCTTTGACGTGAAATTGCTTGGAGAAATTTTGCAAGTTCCTACAGTTGGGGTGTCGAGTTTACGAGATGTTTGTCAGTACAACTTCAAAAATGCAGTGGTGAAAGATAATTCTAATAAGAAAGGGGACCAAATCCATAAGAAAGCACTACTTCTTGTCTACCAGCTATTGTTTGAGCTGGTTAACAAACTCCTGTTGCCTCGAGTAGAAAGGAGGTCTATAACTTCAAAATCTGATCTATACCTAATGGAGCAACTGGTCGGTTTCAACCCTGTGAGTCTGCCTGCCATAATGATTGAACACATGCAGAAGGTGGCCAATTTCAAAGATGGTAATCATGGGCTTCCCCATGGATTCTTGCTCACTCAGGTGTTCAAATTCTTTGAGGTTCCACTGGGAATAGGTTAAGTGGGGACCCGTAAGCAAACATTCTCTCAGACAACCTTGGAAGAGTGCGAGTGTATTGAGAATTATAGGGGTGTAGGCAGTATTTCAACTGTGTCTCAGCTCATCAATGCCCAGAATAGTGCAGCTAAGGAAATACGTCGATTGAAGGCCAGAAATGCTATCCTGGAGGGTCAGCAAGCTCGAGCGGTTCCCATGTCAAATGATGAGGTGAAACGCCCGAATAGACCTTGTTCTTCAGACACTTGTTGGAGCTTCCAAGCCTTTTCCTCCTAGTGCCCCCTAAGAACCCCTTCAGTGACCAGTTGTCTCGATATGTTTCTTCTTCTTTGTCTTTTTGTTGATGGTTGGTGGATGTTTTTTTTGCCTTTTTTATGGTTGGGATGTACTACTACTACTCCTGTGAACAAGTCCAATATAGCTTCTTCCTTTTTTCAAAGGACGAGGTATATTAAAAATTATTAATATGAATCCTTTTTCTTTTATCTCGTACTCTCTCTCTCTATGTTCTATTCTTTTTCATGATTGTGTGCACATATGTGGCATGAGTTAGCTTAGCTGGACTTCTTTGTGCTGTTGTTCTTTTTAGTGATGCCAGAAGGGGGAAATTACACATTGGGGAACTGGTTCTTATGCTCTATTATTTTTTAAGATAAGGCATAGTCTCAGGGGGAACTCTTTGAAACTGGTTGTTTGGTTTCTACTGCCTCAATTTCGATTTATAATTGTTGAAGTTTGTCATCCTCAAAAAGGTAGAAATTGATAGATCTTAAATGCTCTTGCCTGATGTTTTGATGATCTAACAAACTTATAGCTAAGAACCAGATAGGGAACCTGACCTACTTGAATCACTGCAAGTGTTAACCGATTTCAGCTAAAGATGAATTGCTACAAGCTTCAGGAACTAGGAACCAAACAAGGACCTGATGCTTTTGTGGTTTCCTCATAGCAGTACAAAGTCATTTGGACATAGTTGGAAATGAAGTGACCAACGACACTATTTCTGTCGCATTGCACCACACTGTCAGCCCACTCACTCTCTAACCAAACAAAGTACTCACATCATTTCAAGTTATGTGATCAAGATGTACAATATGTGCTTTATACAAAAGCATTACTAGAAGGTTTCTGTTTCTCATTCAAGCCTCTTGCAAAAACAGAAAAATCATCCTCTCAAGTTTGAAGAACATGATTGAACGCAACTACGGACCAGTTCCTAAAAGATTGATGCTTGCTGTCCTAGTTGAATTGTAACCTTATTATTGTACTTACTATATCTCCTAAATCACTTATCTAGAAGCATCCTGATTAGGAATCCTCTTGTAAATCTGTAAACTCGTTGAGTTTATGTTGTGACTAGATTTGGTCATAAGGAAAAGTCTTTGTAATCGTAGAATTATAAAGTGGCTTGTGGTGATAGCATCACAATTTAGAAAAAGCCTTTGTAACTAGGATAGTCACAAAGTAGCTTGTGGTAAAGGTACCACAAGTTAGTTGAGTAAATACTTTGCAATAGGAAGTATTGTAAAGTGGCTTGTAACAGGTAAGATTACAAGTTAGTGAAGTTAAAAGCCTACAAGGTAGGTCGTGGTTTTTTTGATCCCCTTGTATGGGATTTTTCCACGTAAAAAATCCTCTGCCTCATTTACTTACTGCTTTACTAAATGCTCTCAGCAAAATCTTGTAGAGGACCAGGTACTCTACGATTTGGTGGATCCATACAATCTAACAAATCTTGTGCATATAGAATGCGGGGCTTATCCCCCGAATATCAGCTAAAGTCCATCCAATTGCCTTTTTCCTCTTTTGAAGAACCACCAATGTGGCATCAGATGCCCTGCATGTTAGTAAGACAAGAGGAAAGAATAACTGGCAAAGTAGAACTAGGGCCTAAGAACTCATACCTGAGGTGTGGAGGCAACGGTTTCAACTCCAACACCGGAGGTTCCTCAATTGAAGGTTTTGTTGGTGGAGTCTTCCTATTCTCAATGTCCAAAGATAGTTTCCTAGGCTCATAAGAGTAAGAGCGCATTCCATGTAAAGCATTCACATACTCCACTCAGCCTTCATCATCATTTATATCAAGATTCAACAATACGGCTTTTAGAGGGTCCTCCACATTGATCATTGCACTTGTGTCATCAACTATCACTGCCGTGACATGGTCTATAAAAGAGCACACCTCAGAACTGTTGGGCTACTTCATTGACTTGCACACATGAAAGACCACTTTCTCATCACCCACTCGGAAGGTGAGTTCCTCTACTTCTACATCAACTAAGGCCTTTCCAGTAGCAAGGAAAGGTTTTCCCAATATGATTGGAACTTCATAATCTACCTCACTATCCAAGATCACAAAATTAGTTGGCAAGATAAATTTGTCCATCCAAACAAGAACATCATTAATAATACCCAATGGTCTCTTCATAGTTCTATCCGACATTTGCAATCTCATAGAAGTCGGCCTCGGTTGCCCAATACCCAAAGTCTTGAAAACTGAGTATGGCATTAAGTCAATACTTGCCCCTAAATCACATAGAGCCTTAGCAAAGTCTGCACTCCCAATGATGAAAGGAATGGTGAAAGCACCAGGATCTTCAAGCTTCGGGGCCATTG